AAATGCACATGCAGCCTATCATTTTATGTAAAAAAAATATGATGGTTATGAAATCTGACAGCTGCTGGGTGGAAGGGTCTTTGAAGATGCTCCTTAGTGCTTAGACAACTTTAATTGTCATATTGTATACACAGAGTGTACAGCTTCCATTTCTTAAAGTGCAGCAGTGATCAAACTGTGGGAGAAAAAACATTGTGTGAAAAAAAAAAACGCATTTTTATTGAACTTCAGAGCATTAATATATATGGTGCAAATATGCAGTGTTTTGGGTTGGTGTTGTCAGTTTGATGCTGAGTCTGTGACATGCTGTAGAGATTTCTCAACAGTTCAGCTGTCTAATGGTAGTGGGGAAGAAAATGTTTTAGAATCTGCTGGACCTGCATCAGATACTTTGAAGCCTCTCCCCAGCAGGGAGAACAGACCATGGTGGGTCATTTATAATGTTACAGGCTCGGTACACGCAGTGCTGGGATGAAATGTATTTTATGAAGGGAAGAGGTACATAGTGCAATAATGGTGCTGCAGTCTTTAACTAAAGGAAGTGTCTAACTCACCAACAATTTTAGGTGGGAGACATATTCTAGAGATGACTGAAAACCTGAAGGCTAATTTATAAAACAGTTCTTTCATGCACCATCAACCTACACTGGAAGGTCACTTCCCACTGACTTTTTATTAAAAAACTCGCTGGAGGTTCAACAACAGATGAGCTTTCCTATCATAAGTGCCCAACACTGTACCACCCATGGCAAAAAGATATGTGTCAAATATTTGAAAATGCAATTAATCTAGTTATACGTATGATAATAAAGCCTATAGGTAGCTGAAGTCTGCATACAAATAAAGATGTCTTACTTGCTAACCCCCCAAAAGTAATTCTTGCTTGTTTTTTCTTAATGTTCACTAAAACTTACCTTTTCAGGTTAGCTAGTTAGCCTGCAAACTCTTGGTTTTACACAGAGCCCAAACTGCAGCTAATGCTGTTAATAAGTGTAAAACTTCCAGGGGGGTTTCGTAAATAGAACACATCTGGATTCATTAGTTAAATGCATTAAAGAAGCAGAGTGCAGATGTGAAGCTGTAGAGGCTACAGAAGGTTCAGCTATATTAGGGTGTTCCAAATATTGCATTAATGACTGATTAGACACAAAAACATCAACGTTAGAATATCAATCTTATTATTAGTTTTATATCCAAATGAATTCATATTGCTTAATACTATCAATATATACTATCTTCCTTTATTGCTGCGGTTAATTTATGAAGTGCACTGGATGTAATTAGGTTTAAAGCTGCTCACTCCTGCAGCTGATATTGTCAGCCTTTGTTCACTTTAAAAGAAAATAATGCACAACTGAATCACCAGCCTGCAGCTGTTGACTGTAGCTATTTTGCCTTTTTCCTCAATTAGAAGAGACTGAAAGGGAACAGCCAGTCTGTGTTCATTTTCAAATCCAACAAAATACAGAATACCAAGATCTATTCAGACCCAATACTCTAAAAAAATTGGTTTATTTTTTTCATCTTATGCTTTTTTTTTAAATCCATTTTGAATGTTGAAAAGGTGTTGATGAAGAGTACACAGAGCAGCTGCCCTGCAGGTAGGGGATGATATAAGGCAGCAGTTTCATACCCTGTGTTTGAAGCGGTTCGGGTCCCTGCTCTCTTTGCGGCTCAGGTCGATGAAGAAATGCGTCGCTCTGGCTGTGTCCTCTGGAGGCATATCCCACATGATGCGGAAGGAATCACAGGTCACCTCACAGATCTGGATGTTGCAAGGAGTGGCGAGAGGGGCGTCCATTTCTGTCATCTACCGTTATATTAGGAGATAAAAACGCACGGTTAGGCTGATCTAAACACCCTGTGATAGCAGTGCCTTGATCTGTGCAGATTCTTCTTAAACACTGGGACTAAAGTCAGCTCTGAGCAACAGCAGAAAACATCATGGATGAACACATTTCTGACAGAATTTAATGAGACTCTCATTTAGGGATTTATGTGGCAGCTTTTTATTCATTCTTTGAACATTTTTCCACTCCACCTCCCTTTTCTTGCCCTTAACTGACATTTGCAGTTATTACACAACTCCAATACGCTCCCAGCGGAGTGAGTAGCCTCTGTTTTGCCTGTGCATTTCATAATCCACCTACAGCAGTCTCCAAGCAACCACACATTAGCAGCCTCCCTCAATCTTCTCCTGTGATTTTCAAGGAAGGGGTCATAAACAAACTTGGAACTGTCAGCAGGAGCAAAAACTACAGGAAACTCATTCAACATCTCTACCTCCCTGCTGGAATTTTGCAGAGAACGGCCGAACAAGTGAAGGAAACGCAGCTTTGCACAGAAACAACTGGGGAGGTTTGAGCCTCTGTAGCAGCAAGTGATGAACGATCATGTCCTCCTCGCTGCTTGTTTGTTTCAGGTGGCTGCACACAGCCCAGAGCACTGAACTTGGCACAGTCTGCGTTTGTTTATTAGCTGCTGCCTTCTCGCCTCTTAACTGATGGGAAGACTCTTCAGAGGATGCACTTTGGCTGAGTTTTCCCCTGAGGCCTCCACTCCTCTATACTTTTCCAGTAATATTCAGCCATCTGGATGTATGCCATCTTATTTTACAATACAGCGAACTGCGGTTCCTTGAAATGTGCATTTTAATATCGATCGAATGTGATAAACAGGATAAACAAACAAGCAGCACAGAAATATAAAGTGGAAGTAAACGTATGTGTTAACAAGCTTTAACAAAATCTGTGACATGCATCAGTATTCGCATCCCCTTAATCAACACTCCATGTTGTAGATCTTTAATTTATAGTTACCAGCTTTACATGACTAAAGTTAAAATGTTACACGTGCATTTTCTTTCCAAAATAGCTCAAAATCCATTAGACTGACTGTGGACTATCTGTGAATATAGATTTCCGCTTTTGTTGGTTCAGGTTGAAACTTGAAATGGTCAATTACAACACAATAATTTGCTCTGATACATTTGATTCTAGCTCTGGCTGAATGTTTGCTGTCAATGTCCTGCTTAAAGTATTAGACCCAGTTTATTTCCGTACATATGATTTATTTTTCATCCAGGATTATCATCCTTTTAAATCCACTCAACTCTCCATCAACTCTAAAGGTTTGCATGTCTTTGCACATATGTCGACTGATTGTGACCGAAAGGCTTCAATCTTTATAAAGGCTATATTTATAAAAAAACAGAGGAGCTGGATCTCTGCAGCTCCCCCAGTGTTACCAAAGGTCTGCTTCTCTGTTTTCTTCTCTGATTGTCCATCACTTCAGGTGGAGGGTCATGTTTGGGTAGGTTTGCAGGTGTGCTATCCTCTTTACATATTTGGAAGGTCGACGGACCAGTTGTCAGACCTTTAAAGCTGAAAATCCTGGTTTATAACCTAACTCTACTTAACATTGTCTCCCTTTCTGCTGTGTTTTTTGGTCTTCGTGATTCTGTTTGTTGACATTTCTTTTACAAAGTCTAACAGCTGGATTTATAAAGAAATGACATTGCACATAGGTGGACTCCATTATTTACTATTTAGCTTAACTGAGTTTAATGGAGGTAAATTAGATTAAAGAGGACTGAATTCAAATGAAAGCCTCAATTTAAAATTCCATTTTCAATAAACAAAAGTGCATCCTTTTTTATTCTCCTTCTTAACTATGCACTGTTTTATGTTGCCCTATTACATAAAGTCCCAACAACATGCACTGTATCATCTTGTTCAATGCCTGATTTAGCAAGGCATTGTAAATCATGCTCATATTACAGCATCTCTACAACCTAACAGTGCACTTTTTTTCTTGTTAAACGCACGCTTCCTCTGAACATATGCAAATTCAAAGACACTGCTAAAAATAACACGCTGCTTTTGTTGTCTCTGTGATGCTATAAAAGCCAAGCATGTTGTGGAGTCATTTTTTGACCGCTAAGATGCTCTGCAGTCAGGATGATGGACAGGCTGCAGCAGCTCAATAAAGCCTTTGAACTGTGAAATTTCTGAGGTAACCCATTCACACAAGGACCGTGCAGAACGGAGGGGTGCATCACGTGTGTCTTCATGCGTCTGCTTTACAGCTGCTTGCTCTCTTTTCTAACCATGGAGCCTTTTCAGCGACAGAAACTGGGACAGGGAGACAGATTCTCACAGGACCGGTCATCAAAGCCCTACGCCTCTCCGTTTGCACTACTTTTGGATCAGGAACGTGTGAGCACAGTTCAGACATGGGTCTTAATATCATTCAAACCCTTCCACTGCGTGGCCTCATTTGTAGATCAGTGCTTTGAGAAGAAAACCGAGCCAATTATCTCTACTTTAATAGACAGCTGCTCCAAACAAGACAGCTGGTTTTCACTGATAATTACAATGAGTTTCCTCATCATAGATCATCATTTATCAGCTCATGCATGCATGCACTGAGTTACTCATCTCTGTCCAAAACACGCAACGCACAGATATTGACCTGCAGCAATTATGCTAATTAAAATACAAAGCAATTAAAGCATTTTTGGGTGAAATTTAGTGTTTTCAACTGTTTCTGCCTAGAAATAAATCACATTTTGATTTAAAAAAAAAGAAGAAAATAACAGAGTTTTTAAATTGTTTCAAATTCTTTCTTTTAAGTAGAGTTAAGATTCAACATCAGATTAGTGTGACAAAAACATAAAGCTGTTGGTTGCTCTGCACAAATTAAAGCAATAATTGAAAATGATCATAGTCCTATTACAATAGTAAGTAATCAAAATCTTCCCAACTGTAAAAGCATAAGCTGCACATGCATAAGTATGCTACTAAAATGAAAATCATTATAGTTAATTTCTTAATATTTGGTTAAATGTTAGATACTCCTTTAGAGACACACGGGGAGGATGAGGAATTAACAGGAACAAGTTCATAGGTATTGGAATAAAACAACATAGCAGATCTCATGTGAACATTTCAAATCTTGAATAAGCAGAATAGTTTAATCCCTTACTCGTCTGAGGCTCGTATCTGTGATGGGAGATGTTTCCAACGTCACAGCACCGTCTCTTGCTTTCTACTTTCCTCCACTGATGCTGCTGCTGATGTGTCCCTGAGGAAAACTGATTAGAAGGTGAAACAAACGCACTCACAGGCTCCTTTCTGCTTCTTCTTTCTCCTCCTGACTGTTTCTCTCCCCCTGTCACACAAACAGCCTAACCCCCATCCACCCTCCCCTTCATCCCCTCCTCCCAGTCTCATTTCTCCTCTGATCTCTTCGTGGTGTTTACTTTGACTCCCGTTCAGTTGCACAAACAAAAAAAAACATTATCCCCCTGAAAGACAAAAAATCTGTACACTGAAACACGACCACAGCAGGGGGTGCATGCAGAGTCGACCTCGTCAGCATCACGATTTCACCAGCCAACCATACACAACACGTCACCCGGGAGTAAATCCATCCTGAGGTGCAGAATCTGTGCACACACTCACTCCAATGTAGTCTGCACACTCCTCGACTAAATGTCAACTCTAAGTGATGGTGACATTATAGGCACTGGACGTGTAACTGAGAAAGAAGTCATGTTTTACATCCTCCCTTAGCAAATTCACAAGAGATTAACTTCTGATTTCCATCTGAGTGATGCCCCAGTAGATTATGGAGAGTGCCACCAAGACCTAAAAAATATACGTGCCAACTGTTCTGCCATATGGACTAACTCTACAGGGCTTCTCCCCCCACTTCCTGTCCCATCCTACCCAGGGTCCACTGTATAAATCCCAAGTAAGCAGATTTCCACTGGCATTAATTTCATGGAAATAAATTATTATTTGTGCTTCATTTTGGATTCCATTTGAGGAACCGTCCTCAGATTATTATGATAATCTGCTAAAACAATGGATACAAACACAGGATTAAGATAATATAATGATATAGGTCAGACTCAAAGGGAGGGTGCAGTCCTCCCACAGACACACCATTTTTTAGTTTCAAAATGACCATGATATATTACGGTTATTTCACAGACTGTGAGCAGTATTGAAAAGCTTTGCTTATTATCAGGCAAGCAGAGATAACTGATAGCCTCACAGAGTAATTAAGCTGCAGTCATCCATCATCAGTCACAGCATGGCAATCCTTTCCCCAAAACCCTCTGTGTTGAAAAGGTGATTGTATTGTCTTCTTTATGGGGATGTTGGAATTATTTCTCTTTCTCTGACTTATTGTCAAATGTTTAAGTATCATTAGTATATAAAAATGCTCTTATAATCCATGTGAAATGATGATTTTTCTTTTTGGTTTTCTGCTGCTTTGTTTTTATTAATTGTTACTAGGTTTTATAAACGGTATTTTAGCAGGGTGGTTGCAGAAGCTTTTCATAAAGAAATACCCACTAATAACAGTCTTAGGGTGGGGCAGAAAAAAAAGCCAGAAAATGGTTTCAGGTGTTTAGTTTGGCGCTGTGGGTGAAACAGGAAATGTTGAGAACAAAAAGCATATCCTAGTATTTTTAAACATCATAATAACCTGAATATTTATGTTTTAGGCAAAGGGGATTTTTAAACCCCTGAAAATATGGGTGAAAATTATTTAAAATGCTGTAACAGCGCGACTAACTGGGACGCTATGAAGGACCCCTCTTGTTTTTACCCTTTGGCGCCCCCTAATGGCAGGACTTTATTTTGCTATTATCTTCCGCATTCTGATTATTTTTGTCACTATAGGCATAATATTCGTTTTATCTTTTTACATTGTGTACCAGCTTATATGAATATTAGTAGTTATATATAAATAATATTTTTTCATGCATTTTTCGATGGGATTGCTTAAATATCTTATCCCACTTACCTTTTTTAAACCACTTGATTAAATAAATAAGGACCTGTGTAAAAAGAATAAAAAACAACTTCAACAGTATGTACAGCAAATCCACGGTGAGACTACTTTTATTAACATGGTTGAATTGAAAAAAACAAACAAACCACAAAAAAACCTTTATGTTGTCTTTAAAATCAATAGTAAAAGAAGCAATGAAAAAACTAAGACAAATTTAAGGACTTGCTTCAAACAAAACCACTGGCATAAATGGCATTTAAATCCCTGGTAATTAAAAAAAAAAAAGGTTGAACAGAAGCCTTATTTTCAAATTAATACTTTTTTTGGATAGGTTATTTAGAAACATTTTATTATTAATGTATACCCTATATTTACCAGGGTTATAAATACTATCTGGTACATTGATCTTACTCTTTAATTACTATAGAAGAGACACGAAAACATACCATTAGTTTAGAGAATATGTGTATTACTCATCATAGATTAGCAAATGGTTACCCTTTTACACATCTTTGACCAATTTGTTTACATCTGTGACATATTTGAGATGCTCAACATTTTGAAGACAGAAAACGAGTAAAATATTTAAGCTCGAAGACAGAATTTCTGATAAATAGTATTAAAAAAAGTTTTAAATTTTGTTGAATAAATATCTTTTTAATTTATTTTATGTATTTCGAACTTTAAATCATATCTTAAAAAGGAAAACCTTCTCAATGAAATCAAAATCTCCTTGCTGTACTTTTTATGTTCTTTTTCGTAAAAATAACCTCAGTTTTTTAAGAGAAAAATGTTATGCAGAACGCCTCATGGGCTCTTCGTTAAGATCATGTCTGCGTCAAAGTTTGCGCAACAAACAGCCGAATATGCAGGAATATGTGAGCAGCGCAGCTCTGAATCTCGTGAAGTCAGAAACCGGAAGAACAACTCCGTCGTGTCATGGCGCCGTGCGTGACGTCAGGGCTCGGTAACAAACAGCTCGAGCTGCTATCCAGCAGTCTGTGATGAATATCAGGCTGTGAATTAAAATCCAGAAGGAGGATCTCAGAGGAATAACAAGCAGGTAGCCGAAATAAACCGGAATCCATGTTGGATGTGTTTAATGACTTCCTGTAAACTATAGTGCTGACTTCATGTGACTGTCTGTTGTAATATGGCCACGTGTTAGGGATCTTTATTTTGTTTATTAAATGTATAATGTTTTATGATGCATGTAATAAATCATTCCATGCCTATTAGGAGTCACATTGTTGGGTAAAAAAAAGCAAAAAACGGTAGATTAAATAGATCATTTTGTTTACAGTAAATAATATCTCCTTAAATCAATGATAACTTGTTTGTCTTTTCCTAAACTTAGTTTAGTTTTTGATTCCTTTAATGGATAATAGCAGTTTGAACTTTGATCTAAACTGTTATAAAAGTGTCTAACCTTAAATATCTGTGCACACTGTGTACATCCACCATTTATTACTCACACGATCATTAAAAATACTATTATTATAATACATTATGCAGCTGTGATGCTGTATATTGTGCATTTCATCCCAGTATCTTGCAAGCAACAGTAAAATCTATGATGAACTCAATTTGTTTTTATTAGAAATTAAATAACAAGATGTAAAGTCCCAATAAAAGCATTTTGAAGGGAGTAAAATTTCATAAAACTTTGTTCATCCACTAAAATGTAAAACCAGTTATGTGGGGTTAAAGGTTAAGACTGCTTGTTTGAACTGGTAATGTTAAACTGGGCGGTGGTTCTGTTTTCTTTATCTACCTGTCCACACCCGTACCTTGGATTATAGAGAAACGTCTGCTTTTCATGGCAGCATTTAGTTTGTTTACTTTCACATATAAAGAAACAAAATAAGGCGTCTAATTTAATTCAGGTTCGATTTAAATGTTTGCAAAATCAATTCACAAATACAAGAAAATGCAAAAATTATTCCATAATGCCGGTAGAGTGGAAGACTATGCCTGGCCTAGATGTTTCCCTTTTTTCATTTTCACACAGGAACCCATTGGAACAAGTATAAGAAGAAGAGTAAACTGTAAAGAATAAAGTTGAATTTCTCCTCAGTTCAGGATGGCAGACTCAGGAGGCCACGGTGGTCAGCGGGCTCCGGCCCCTGGAGGCAGCGGCAGCGTAGGACCGCTGATGGGTCGTCGACCGCCAGCGGGCATCTCTCCGGGCCGTCTTCCAGCCGTGCGATCCAGAGACCTGACACTAGGAGGAGTAAAGAAGGTAATCTCCTGTAGATCATCTTTGGATGGCATGTTTTAATTGACCATTGGGGAGGAAACCATTGAATTGGAAACAAATTGATAAGATTTCCACTCATTTAAAGTGTCCAGTTTTCGCAAAGCTGTGACCTGAACTGACTTCTCGTTTAAAGCAAATGGCATCAAAGAATATAAGAACAGCAGTGAGAATATTTTTTTAGTAATTATTAATTTTAGAAGCACTTTATATTTTTAAAGTTGGACATTAATGATTACAGTGTTTAACGTCTATACCAGCTGTTACTGCTTTAACTATTACTAAAACATCAGCTTTCCTACAACTAAACTCTGAAATAAAGCTGCTGATATATCCAGCACGTTCCAACACAAACATGGGTGAAAAGCTTACAAAAACAAAACACACCCTTGCTGCACCTCATTCAGCCTTATTGTTAGCTGCTCAAAATGTTGCTCTCTCCCCCCACCTGACATCTCTCGACTTTTCTCAGAAAATAAGTCAGCTTTGATTAGTTTCTTGTGTCGCTGTGCTTCCATCTGACCTAATTTTTAGAACCTCGCTGATGATAAAAATCTCAAACTTTGATTTCGCCTGTTGCTATCAGCCTCGAGTTAGCACTGAGGTTTGAAACATTCATAGATCAAAGAAAGAGGTCAGATATTTGAGTTTCCAGTTGGCTGGTCTCCTGTAAGAGATGTAGCTTATTCAAGCAAACATCCGATTTCTCCATGATACTTTATTTTTAACATAATTTAAACAACATAAGGCCCACTTTGATATATAGAAAAAATAAAAATTGGATGCTGTAAAATGATGGCACCGGCTGAATTTTTATTTTTTATTTTAGAATAGACCCTATAGCACTAGTGTACATCTATATAATACAGGAAACTGTTTGAGTGATGTGATAATAGATGGTAGATGTTTAAAGAGATTGAGGTTTCCATCTTATTTACTTCAGGCCTTTTATTTAGGGACGCACAGATATGAAAATCTGGGTCAATATCTGATAATAATATTAACATTATGGCGAATAAACAATTATATCCCCCTACCTTTAGACACCATTAAAGACTGATCAAAGTGCTGAAATTGTTTCTCTGCTTCAGGTACACAACCACATTCCTGTGCTTCATTACACCAGTGTCACATGACCAAACAAACACCACATGACCAGTAATCTCCTCCTGAAACAAAAACAGCAGCTACATACAAATGAATATATTTTTTTTATATCGGCCCGGTTTTATTTATTGGATCGATGCAGATATGCTTAGAAATTATTAACAGTGGTCGATACCGATATCAGTGCTTATATGTGATGCAGCCCTTCTTTTATTAAAGAAGAAATCACCTCATCCTCCTTCTGATTAGTAATACAGTTATGGTGAGATTCATAAGAAGGAGAATAATCTGCTTAATATCATTTTCTTTTAATTTATTTCTCTGTTTTAACCATTCTCCCCCCATTGATTGTGACTCATCTGAAACTAAAGGTGGGCCTCTTTACTTTTGTTCCAGTGAGAGAATTCATCTGGAACCAGAATATATTTGAAATTAAGTGAATTACTGTCTGATCTCTAACCAGTGTCTTTGTTTATGCTTTTAGAAAATCTTTACCCCCAACATCATTGGCCGAAAAGTCAAAGAAGAGTGAGTTCAGAGGAGCTTTAAATTAAAAAAAAAGTGTTTCTTTGTTTTTCTGACTTCTTAATGGCTGTCTGTTTTATTACAACAGACCAAAGGTCGAAGGTGGGCCGAGGCGAGAGCAGAGGGGCACTGAGCGAGGTCGAGGCCCAAGAGAGAGGGGCAGGGGCCGCGGGCGTAGCGAGGTCATCCAGTCTCACTCCATCTTTGAGCAGGGGCCTGCAGAGATGATGATGAAAAGAAGAGGTGGGGCTGGAGCTGGACAGGCAGCTAATAATGAATTCATGCCGGTGTCTTTTGCATTGATGTAAAAGGAGCTCATCATCCCACACAGGAGGCTACGAGAGTGAAAGAGATGCACCGAGCATGGGACCCTCACCCATCATCAACATTAAGAAGGAGAAGAGGGAGACTGAGGAGGAAACCAAAGAGATTCTGCGCAAACTTGAGCGAGAAAACGTGAGTCCATCGGTGTTCAGACCACTGTTTTCTCTGTTTCATTTTGTGGCTAACTCTGTGTTTATTAAGGCAAGGAAAGGCAAATTTATTTTTTATAGCACAATTCAGTACAAAGATAATGCAAAGTGCTTTACATGGTTAAAATATAGGAAAATAAAACACAATCAGAGCAAGTAGAAGAAAAAAATAAATAAATAAATAAAAAAGATGCAGAAACAAGAAAGAACATTAAAAGCAGTTGGACTAAAGAAAATAAAAAGAAAAGAAATGAACTAGTCATGTTTCAGTAGAACTTTTTAACTAGAACAGTCGAAGGCAATCCTAAACAAATGTGTTTTTAAACTAATTTAGTTCATAGACGACCCTTTCCTGAGGAGTGAGCAGAAGAGCTGCCCTGTCCAGCTTCCCTTGGCTGTGTCAGGGTGGGGATTCAAGGAAGAATTCAACAGTGCTGCTGTTAAAATAGAAAAGACAGACCTGGATGAAGCCACGGACCCTTCAGTTGAAGGTGGGTGCAAAAGTATCAGGGCCTCATGCATCTGATCAGATTCTAAAACCTGAATTAATGCTCTTATCAACTTTGCAAGTCTGTGTGCAATGTTATTATCATAGGTGCATGCATAAAGATTCTGTCTGAACACATCTACAGTGAAACAAGAGCCAGAGGAAGTGGAGATAAAACAGGCTGAAGCCACTTTCAGGCCTCCTCCTCTCCCTGAGCCTGAAGTTCTTCCTGACCTGCTGCACAAATGGAGTCTGAGCAAAGGGGAGGAGCTGTTCTTCATCCAGCTGCCCGACTCGCTGCCCGGCCAGCCGCCCACCAAGGAGCACAAGCCGATAAAAACCGAGGTTCAGTCGGAGGACGGTCAGTCCGTGCTTCTGAAGACAGAGTCACAGGTAGATGAAGGAGGCGGTGATGTTTTAATCCACGTGGACGGATGTTGGTCACATGTATAACCATTTCATGGATTTGCTACAGGAAGAGGTAGCCGATGACAACAGCTGCAACTTGAAAGATCTGAGGGAGGGTGTTGTTGGAAAGATGCTGGTGCGAAAGTCTGGCCGGGTGCAGCTCATCCTGGGACAAGTGACCCTCGACGTGTCTCTAGGGACAACGTGCTCTTTCCTACAGGTATTATGGGTTACCTATCGCCTTAATCTAATTTATTTAATCATGTAAATAAATATCACATCCTTTCTAAACATTTTCTGCTATACCAATTTTCTTTTCAGGAGCTGGTTTCTGTTCAAGCAGCCGAAAGATCTGGAAACCTGACAGTATTGGGGAACATCAGACACAAAATGGTCTGCTCTCCTGACTTTGAGAGTCTGCTGGAGAACAGGACATGATAGTTGTTCAGCCAGAGGGGCTCTGAGCTGCCTCTGACACATTAGATATATTTAATAAGAAACTTAAACTTATGTCTGAATAAATTATGCAGCCGACCAATTTGCCTTTTAGTTTTTTCAAAGTTGCTATAATTACATAGATATACATGGACTGTGAATATTTTAGATTTATTGCTCATAATGGACATAATGTTTGGTGGTTATAGGCTTGAGTGCCAAGTTTTGTTGCTCTTTACCTGACAATGATGTACATGGTTATAAATATGTTAATAAAAAAAAAAGTATTATTGCTATATCAGATCAATTACGGATTACTGAAATTACAGAAATATTTTCAGAATACTTGTTTTTTTCAATCTTTTTTTATTATTAGCTATTTTTATTTCTGTTAAACAATTCCATTCATGTTCTGAAGAGAAAAAAACAATTCTAGTTTTAAAAAAAAGGCTTTGCCTTGTGGAACAATGTCCTGCTGCTCTAAAAATAGGAAATACACTCAACTGAAAATTGAAACTCATAGTGCTTGGCAGTAAAATAAATTGAAATCGACAAAAGTAATAAAAAATAAAAATGATTTAAAAAATGGAGTTCATGACATTGATTTGGAGTAAATATATAGTAACTTGAATTATTGGTGTTAATTTATAATTTTCTTTAAAGGGAAGGTACACAAACTTGCAAGTAAAAAAAAGTTTGAACACAGCATTTTGATACAAATATGCTATTTTTTAAATGAAGATAGCTAAAGACCTTATTTTTTTCAGCTGATGGTTTATTTTCTACAAAACGTCTTTGGTATAGAAGCAGCCTTTCTGGTGTTGATAATCTAATTAAAAGTCAGAGCAGCAGTCTGTTATATAGCCCCTCATGCTTGGCCATGACTGGTTTTATTCTGCCAAATTGATCTGACTCCTAGATATGTAGAGAACATATTGAGATTAAAAAAAAAAAGTGACAATAGAGCCTTTAAGCAGAGAAGCGAAAGCAGTGCAAGATTTTCTAATAATCCAACCCATATAAAAAAAATAAATAAACAAATACTTGAAAAGAATCTCTGTAATGAATTTCCACTTTAGTAATTAAACTAGTTCCATAAATTAACATTTCAATAATATTCGGTTGAATGTATGGCACCTGATAGCTTTATATCCAATTTTATTTTAATGACTATATTTTCATGACTTGGTGAATTGTGGCATTTTTAGACCCTGACGACTTATAAATCTTATTGAAAATTCAAAGGGAAATGTGGGAATGGGGATATTCATTCCAGACTTTAATTGTATGCATGGAAAAGATGAACAGACATTTTATCTATATACACAGTAGAAATGGTAGCAATTATTATTAGTTTACAGTGGGTGGAGGAGGTTAGACCGGACTGGGTGGACAGATTCTAAAGCTGCAATAGAAAGCATTCAATCAGGAGGAAATAATAGACCTTGATGATGACCTTGTACTAGAAATTCATCAGAGTTTGTTTAGGCTATTTAGGTATGGAATAGATGTTCAGTTCTGTTGGGTTCCAGCACATGAAGGGGTGAGAGGAAATGAAATGACAGATAAGATAGATAAAAAGGCTTTAGGAGAGCAGAATATAGATCAGATTCCATTTGGGAAAGGTAAAGGTAAATCAATAATTAAAAAGAAAGAAACAGAATTGTGGCAAACAATATGATATGAAGATAAGAAATTAAGAAGATTATATAGGGTTCAAAAACCTGTATTTGTTAAAAATTATGGAGAAAGAAGGATAAGGAAAGAGGTAATTTATACTGGATTAAGAACTGGACATACCTACTTGGATGAGTTTTTGTTTTTGTACTAAGGAAGAGAAATAATGATTTATGTGAGTGTTGTGAAAGAAAAGAAAATGTGGATCTTGTTTTGATGGATTGCATTAAATATGGAACTGAAAGAGAGAGGATGAGGAAAGTAATTATGGAAAAAGGGAGAGAAAGGAGTATTAAAGGAATTTTACAGACAGATTGAGATAGGGAGGAAAATGTTATTGATAAAGCGTTTTTATTTTTACATAACACAAAAATAAAAAATAGAATATAGTAGGTGGAACTATACACACTCGTGTACAGTGGGTGGCGGTATGCACCTATAAGTTGTTTGCAATCCGCCAATTTAACAAAGAAGAAGAACGCGTCATAACAGCTGCAATAGCTCACTGTGACCACCAGGTGTCACTGCGGGTCACGGAGATAGGAGCCGCTTTTTTCGATTTGGTCGCCCGCTGTTCGCTCGTGCTGTCCGGCGGGTGGAGTTTATCCTCGGTCAGCGCGCGAGACAAAGGCAGAGGGATGGACGAGGGAAACCGTGAAGTGTCGCCACTGGATGTACGGTGACCCAAGGTTGGTCGGATACGAGTATTTCCCAGTCGAGTTATTAATACTTGAGTTGTGTTAAATCCCGTGAACGGTTGGCTCAGCATGTCGGTGCTCTCACACAGCTGAGGGATGAGAGCAGGCTAACTGTTAAGAGCTCTGGCTAAATGCTAACTTCAGCTTCGGGACAGATTTATTAGTGGCGTAAGTTGTGTTTTCCCCCCCCTACTTTTATTGTTATTATACGTTGAAATCCACAAAATAATAATGTAAAGAGAGTGGCTTGTTTAACAGCGTATTTGAGCTGACAGTCCAGTTAGCCATCGCGCTTTATCATGAATTAATCTTGATGGAAGGCCTCCTTACCGCTAACACTATCTCTACACTCCAGCCAGTAACTAAATAACTCGTTAATATTATCTGGCCCATCACAGAAAAAGGAATAGGTGGTTGTAAACATTACATCCAAACGCCGTCCTGTTAGCTTAAAGAAGCTAGCCTTAGGATGGAGCAGCAGTATTTCAGATGTCCTCATATAGACAGGCTGTCTGTTTTGTATTATTGAATTATCCATCAGCATCCAGGCGGAAACGGTCATAACAATGTTGCCCAGATGGTCCTGATGGTTTGTTTGTGCATCTCTACAGGTTGATATCCAGCTGCTGACTCCTCTGATATTCACCGGCTAAAGGAACCACCTGCAGAGTCCTCTTGTTTTTGTTAAATTGTTTACTTTTTCTGTCATCAGCGGGAGTTCATTCACTCCGAAAAACCAAAAGGACAGCTGTAGCAAGGCCTGGACTTTTTTATTGTTGTTTTTTCCCCCCTTCATTTTATTGGACATTGAAAACATCCCAGTTTCCAATACACCAATTAAATCTAAGGATGATGCCCTAAGAGGCAGGATGAGGATGGCTGCTTGTTTTTGTACTGAGTTTTCAGTAAGTTCCTGGAGAAGCCCTGTCCTCTAATGATCTCCATGGAGGATTTTTCGTGACAAACCCCTCCGGGGCCACTTGGGTCCAAACTCTGGACTTACAGGAATTTGAATCCCTAACTTAAGAATATTTCAAGGAATAATAGCCGCATTAACTTCAGGATGGAGCTCTTCTTCAACCCTTTTGATAATTTACTGTGCATCCTGCTGGGGATCTCCTTCACGGTGTGGTTCACCCTACTCCTGGTGTTCATTATTGTTCCAGCAATATTTGGGGTGTCTTTTGGCATCAGGCGTCTTTATATGAAGACATTGTTGAAGATCTTTGAGGTAAGAGCTTGCTGGCTTTAGATCTTAATTTTTTCCCCTCTTTAAATATTAAGCTTTTGTTCTGAACAAAGATTTATGTAAAAATTAAGAATTCACAGATAAGAAAATCAAGCTCATCAATTATAGTCCATTCTGATCTTTCTTTTAATATTTATAGAGTGGGGCAGTCTTTAAAAAAACAGATTACAGGTCACTGTTTGCAAGTATCTTGAAAGAAAAAAAAGTATAGAATTGATTTTAGAACAGTTTTTCTCACTTTCTCAACTTTCTAAATGGCCCCAGTCCATAATGCTTAGTGAATGCAAGCTTTCTAAACAATAAAACCAAACATCATCTTACTTTTCAGCTTCCGGTTGTTTATCAAAAAATCCCATAGAAAGTACTTTCTTTTCTATAAGCTTTAACACCTTTCATACTTCCTCAGACTTCCATGTAAACACCTGGCTAATGCTAATAAGTAATATTCCCTCAGTTACAGCTCCTACACAAAAAAGGGTTGTCAGCACAACCTATTAAAACATGATAGGAAAAAACATGAAGGTAAAGCTCTAATCACGCAGATCCTCTATCTCATGTAAGCATTTATATTTAATTCTATTTTAGGTTTTTGGGAAATATTTTCCAAGGAATCAAATCCAGCGTATGCTTGCCTTTAAACCTTGTTTTTCTAGAGGGGTTTAAATACCTCAGTGTTTTTGTCTTCACCATGCTGCCACACGCTCAGGTGGACTCATCAAGGAGTTTCCACTCTTACTAGAAAGAGTATCCTGTTTTGGCTCACACTGTGACTCCCTCCTGTGTACCTTGGCTGCATTTTCAGAGGATGACTCAGTAACGAGGCTTGTTTCAACACACTAGAAAGGTAGAGCTGACAGAAGGTGACAGATATGCTTTATTGCCTGAAAGGTCCTGCACATTACATATACCTTAGAATTTAAGGATTTTCTTTTCTTTTAATTTGCTTAGACAAAAAAGACACAAGAGAGATGCAAAGCCCCCAAACTTCCTTCAAATTTCCTGTTTCCAGTCCAGCTGTGGAGTATTTGGACATAAGCAGCCTCCACCCAGAGTTGGGTTTTTTAATCTTGCAGACACTTTGAAAATATCATGTGCTGCCTTAGTGTCCTGTTAGATTGTTGATTAAATAAAACTCATGGAGCGTGTCCCCAGCCATACTTCCTGATCTCTCCCTGTTTGCCTTTTAGCCTGATGAACACCATGTTCCAATTTTTATATGCATTTATTTTTGTCTAAGCATGTGTATGATCTCACTGAGGTGGGATTTGATATTTCAGTTCAATCTGTGATTATGTTTTATATATGCACTAGTTAAAACAAGAGATTTATGATTATTTTTCTATCTTCAGATTAGGGTTTACCCTAAGATTTGATCAAGTTTTCTTTAGCATTTTGCGATTTTAATAATGTTACAGTACAGGCTGTTTAATTTAATGTGTCCCTGTTCGCTGGATCATTGGTTCCAAAGTAATGAATAAATCATTCTAGTGTTTATCATCAGAATAAATTTAATGATAAACACTAGATTAGCTTCTACCAGCTGCATGTAATAAATCCAATAGAATGCGACACAATAGACAAATTGCAACTTTATTTTACTTCATTTTAATGTTAATCTTTTAGCAAAAATTAAAACCTGTCAGAAAATTGTACGTTCTTGTTTTTATGCATTTGCTCTTGTCTTGTTGATTAAACTTCTGAGAATAGCGTTCATTTCTCCACTTTACCACTCATAGCATGATGGGAAATTAGATTTTTTTAGCTGCAAACCATTTTCTGGAACGTTTAGCATCTCGCCTAAAGTCTTCATTGCACAGAAACTTTGATTCAAATCGAACAAATTCTGCATTAGTTTGAATTTAATTCATTTGCACACTT